ATCGGTATCTAGAGCACTTGGTTTTTCTGAAATTTTGGGAAACACGAGCGAAAAGTGAGCTGTGTGTTTGATTTTTGTTGAATCTTCAACAAAATCTGAACAAAATCACACTGATTCTGTGGGTTTGGGAAACACTGAGTGAGATCTGAGATTTGTGCAAGGTTTAAGATGAGTGGAGGCAGTAGTTTGAACACTAAACTTCCAGTTTTTGATGGAAAAAGCTGAAACAGATGGATGATACAGATGCATGTGTTGTTTGGTGCTCATGATATTCTGGATCTTACTACCAATGGTTATGTTCTAGTTGCAGCAGATGCTACTGAAGAACAAAGATCTGCAAAAAGAGCTACGAGGAAGAGGGATCATAAAGCTTTGTTCTATATCCATCAGTGTGTGGATGAAAGTGTATTTGAGAAGATTGTTGATTCGATGACGTCGAAAGAGGCATAGGATATACTGGTCAGATGTTACGGTGGTGACGCGTTAGTGAAGAAGGTGAAGCTTTAGTCCCTGCGAAAGAAATATGAGAATCTCAACATGAAGAACAGTGAGAAAGTTTCCGAGTACATCTCAAGAATGATTCTGATCACTAATGAGACGAAAGCTTATGGAGAAACACTTTCTGAACAGGTAATCATAGAGAAGATTCTTAGGTCACTTACTCCTCAGTTTTATTACATTGTTGTTTCTATTGAACATTCTAAAAATCTGGAAACCATGAGAATAAAAGAGTTGCAAAGCAGTCTAGAAGTGCAGGAGTTGCGTCTGACTGAAAGAACTTTTGAGAGTGAAGTTGAGCAAGCTCTGAAGGCTTTTTTTTTGTCAAGAAGGACCAGAAGCAGAATAGACGTGGTGATAAATTCTAGAAGTCAGAAACCTTAACTTCTGATGAAAAGAAATATCATAAGGGAAAGGAAAGGTATGACAAGAAGAAGGTTCAATGTTACTGTTCCAGTATCTTCACTTGAAGGAAATAAATATTTTGTGTCTTTTGTGGATGAGTTCACAATAATAACATGGGTAACACTCATCAAGTTCAAGCATGAAGTGTTTACTGAGTTCCAGAAGTTCTATGAGGAGAATGGAATAGAACATGAGGTTACTACTCCATATACTCCTCAGCACAATGGTCTTGCTGAAAGAAGAAACAGGACTTTGCTTGATATGACCAGAAGTATGCTGAAAGAGAAGAATCTACCTCACATGTTATGGGGATAAGTTGTTTCTACATCAGCATATGTTTTGAATAGGTGTCTAACGAAGAAGCTGAAGGAAATTGTTCCTTTAGAAAAGTGGACTGGAGATAAGCAAAGTGTTAGCCATCTGAGGGTGTTTGGTTCTGTATGCCACAAACACGTTCCAGAAGCTAGAAGACGGAAACTGGATGATAAAAGCAAAGTAATGTTACTGGTGGGATACCACAGTACAAGTGCCTATAAGCTTTATTATCCAGAAACCAACAAAGTTGAAATCAACAGAGATGTTATTGTGAAAGAGTCAGAAACATGGGATTGGAACAAGCCTCAATCAGATTTTGGTGTAGCGCCAACACCAGAGTTAGTTTCTGAAGATTCTTCAGAAAGTTCTGAAGACGAGTCAGAGTCAGAAGATGAATCTGATTCTGAAGACTCTAAAGATGAGTCAGAATCTCAGGGAGATTCTGATAGTGGATCTGATTCTGATCCAGATTCTGATGATGATCCAGAATCTGGTGGTGATTATATTTCTGGAAGGGAAAACTCTGAAGACATAGGGTCTGGAGGACAAGCTTTCAGAAGTAACTCTGAAGGTGGTAATTCTGAAGGAAGTAGTTCTGGACAAGGTCCAGAAGCTAGCACTGTTCCAAGTTCTAGAGAAGCTTCGGAACAAGTTCAGAGGCCACAGAGAATCAGACAAATACCAAGTAGGTTTGCAGATTTTAGCATGTTACATGATACTGAAGTAGATTCTGAAGGAGAAGTCGTTCAGTGTGCCATGTTAGTAGATTCTGAACTAGTAGGTATTGAAGAAGCTCTCAAGAAGAAAATATGGTTGAATTCCATAAAGGAAGAACTTGAGGCTATTGAAAGAAACAAAACTTGGGAGTTGACAAAGCTTCCAGAAAAGAAGAAAGCCATCAGTGTCATATGGGTTTTCAAGGTGAAGCTTAAGCCAGATGGATCAATTGGCAAACACAAATCGAGACTAGTGGCTAGAGGTTTTCTTCATAAACCTAGGCTAGATTACTTTGATGTGTTTGCGCCTGTAGCTAGACATGAAACAATCAAACTGGTGATTGCTTTAGCTGTAAACAAAAATTGACCTTTGATACATCTGGATGTGAAGTCTGCATTTCTGAATGGTCCGTTACAAGAAGAGGTATATGTGTCACAACCTCCTGGATTTGTGAAAAAGAATCAGGAAGAGATGGTATACAAGTTACATAAAGCCTTGTATGGACTGAAACAAGCGCCCAAAGCTTGGAATCTGAAAATTGATTCATTTTTCAAGAGGCGGAAGTTTCAGAAATGTGAGATGGAATATGGCGTGTATGTGCAGCATTCTGGTGGCAATATGATTCTGGTGTGTCTATATGTTTATGACATATTGCTAACAGGAAGTTGTCCAGAAGATATAATCAAGTTCAAATAAGTTCTGATGAATGAACTTTAGATGACAGATTTGGGAAATATGGTATATTTTCTAGGAATGGAGATTTTGTACTCAAAGAAGGGTATCATTCTACATCAGCTGAAGTATGAACTTGAACTTCTGAAGAGATTTAAGCTGCAGAATTGTAAAGTTGTTGTGACACCATCAGAAACCAATCATAAATTGGGTTCTGACTCTGATAGTGATTTTGTGGATGCTACGACCTTCAAGCAGTTGGTTGGTTCTCTTAGGTACTTGTGCAATATCAGACCTGACATTTGCTATGCAGTTGGAATGATTAGCAGATTCATGAGTAAACCAAAGTGGTCTCATTACCAAGCTGCTGTAAGGATTCTGAGGTATATCAAGGGAACTCTGAAATATGGAGTGCTATTTCCTTCTGGAAGAAAGACATAACCAGAATTAGTGAGTTATTCTGATTCTGTCTGGTGTGGAGATAGAGTTGACAAAAGAAGTACTTATGGTTACTTGTTCAAGTTTCTGGGGGGTCCAATTTCTTGGAGTTCCAAGAAACAGCCTGTTGTGGCTCTGTCAACGTGTGAAGCTGAATACATTGCAGGTGCTGTAGTTGCATGTCAAGCTGTTTGGCTTCTGAATCTTCTGGAGGATTTGAAGATTGAGATAGAGAAACCTCTGAAGCTGTTGATTGATAACAAGTCTGCAATCAATCTTGCCAAGAATTCAGTGCTGCATGGAAGAAGCAAGCATATTGAGACGAAGTATCATTTTCTGAGAAGTCAAGTGCAAAAAGGAGTGTTAGAAGTTCTGCACTGTAGCATCCAGAAACAGCTGGCAGATGTTCTGACGAAGGCAATCAAAACAGACTAATTTCTTCATTTAAGGTATGAAATTGGTGTTGTTAGTTTCTGATAGATACTAAATTAAGGGATGATATTAAAGAGGTAATTTAGTATTTGCTATATTTGGAATATCCTCTCTTAGGGCCTATGTGACATTCTTATCTTTACTATTTGTGTCTAAATATGTGTACTAGGTTTTATTAATTAATACAATCCATTTTCAATCATTTGTAGCAGCTTTTATCATTCATCATTTTCTCTCTTCTTCTACTTCAATTTCATCACCTTGCACTAACATAAGACTCATGTTGACTAAAACGTATATAAAAATTAGATTTGATAAAATAAACATACAAGTAACCGTAGTAATAAATTATTGTCATTGCTCCTTTTTTTAATAAAATTATTTGTTTTATTTTTATAATACACTCAACCATTTTTATATCATTTTATATATTTTTCTTTGCAATTAGTATTAAAAAATAATATTAAAAAAAAATATTTTATTGAACTTTAAAAATAACACTTAAACATTAATAATCTTTTCATAAAACAAAGAGTATTTTATGTTTATTTAATCAACTGAACCATTTTATGTTAACCATATAATTTAATTTAATCTATATAGTTCAGGTAAGCTTACTCCTACTTAAAATCCTAATCATTTCACATTAAAACAAACACATGTAACGCTCAAAAAAGAAAGAAAAAAAAAACAGAGAAACGCTCATACAAAGTGGATTAGTTAGTTAATCAATAATCAAAGAATCCCATGCAAGTCACATGAATATGTCTTCTTCTTATTAACGTTAAATCAACAAAATTTATGCAACATATTTTCACTTGCATGCATTATTAATTCAAATCATGAGTAAGAAACCACATAGTATAAAGCAAACAAGAAAAAGATAAATTTTGTGCAACAGTTAAAACGCACAAAAACACAGTTATAAATAAAATAATAATAAACAAACTTTGAAAGTGAAAGAGAATTTTTGTTTTTTCAGTCATCCACATGTTCGTCTCAATATGGAACCATTCCATCAACTTTTTCAACAAAGACATCACTTCCTTCATATGCACACATTTAGATTATAATAATTTTCCTTAATTCTTGTCATTTCACAATTTAACTTTACTTTTATCATATAATAGTAGGAATAATATTGTAACAGAAACAAAAACTTCATTTCATAATATAATTGTGTATAACTATTGTAACAAAACAAAACTTCATTTCATAATATAATTGTATATAACTATATATATGTGAAATTCAAAGCAACCTAACCCAACCCAGATTTTCTCTGTTGTAATACTAATAATACTAATAATAAACATGAAAGAAAAATACTCAAGGGTTCAATGTTTGCAAAATCAACTAGATCAACATTTAACAAAACCCTGTATATGTAATAAGCCTAGATATAATATATAGATATATATAATATATAAATATATATAGTCTACTTATACCTTAAATTATAAAAAAAAAAAAAAAAACATGAAACAAGAGAGATTAACTGCTCAGAGCTATGTCTTCCATCATCAGTGAGGAGGGTTGAATCCTGAGAGATCAGGCCATTGATTTGGACCCAAAGAAGCTGAAACACCGTCTACGCCGCTACTGGCACCATTCCTATCAGAATTAGCAGCAGAAATTGAAGTGGTGCTGACAGTACTCCACAGAGATTGTTCAGAGATTCTATTGTTGTTTATATTGTTGATGTAGGTGTGAGGCCAATTATCAGCAGCAACGGAACCGGAACCGGAAACAGAACTTGGATTAACCATATTTGATGGTGGAACCAAATTCAAACCTTGTTGTTCTGATGTAAACATTGGTCCACAGTTACCACCCATTTGAAAAAACTGAGATGGACGGTTTTGTCCTTGTGTTGAATTTCCAAGAGCAGCAGCAACGTTAAAGCCTTGTAAAAGACCCAAATTTGAAGAAGAACCAAGTCCAGGGGCATTTAGTGACGGATTAAAACCGTGAGGTGATAGATTCGGATTCAGAGACGGATTAAATGCCGCAAAAGACGACATATAACCAACACCACCTTGATAAAAAGGAACAGTAGAGGAAAAAGAAGATAAAACTGAAGAAGGGTCTCTAGTCAGCGCAGCCATAGTCGACTGATCAGTCGACTGTTGCAGCGCTGACTGAGCATGAGCATGAGCATGAGCATGAGTGAGAGAAGAATTTCCAATGGAAATTCCAGAAGAACTCGTGGCTGAAGTTTTAGGTCTCTTTCCCTTACGACAACCACCACCAACAGGAACATTTCTCAATGTTCCTCCCTGAGTCCAGTATCTTCTGCATGTTTTGCAGAAGAAACGGGGCTGAGAGAGGCTATAGTTGTTGTAATAGCAAAACTTGGTGTTGAATGAATCACACCTAGGACACTTCTGAGGCTGAGAATGATTATGAGCTTGCTTGTTAATCTCACCTCTTCGTCCATCACCACCACCGCGACTACAACCACCACCATCTTGCTCCATCTTTTTTTTTTCCTTTAAACTTTTTACGGAAAATTTGTGTGTGTTTTTGGAACAGATTTGCTTTGTATTTATAGTAAAAAAAAAACAAGAAATAAAGAAAAAACTAGGTTCTTCTTCTTGCTATTGGTTGGTTTCTGGTTTTTTTAGAACATGCATGAACTAAGGAAATTTTTGATTGAAAAGTGTTTGAGAAGTTTAATTTTTTCAGATTTGAGACAGAAAAAGAAATGTTCAACGTGTCTATGCAAAATGTATCTTGAAATAAAATCTATAATGACCAAACCAACGGCGATCTTTACCTTGTGCATGAATTTACCAACTACAAAAAAAAAATTTAATACATAGAAAAAAACAAAATAATCATCAACAAATTTTAATTTTTTCCATTTTTCAAATTCATGAGAATATATCATATATGTCTCTACATAGGTATTAATTTCAATATGTTCAACACATGAGAAATCTTAATTGATTTTGAAAATCTTAACAAAAGTTTTTGAATTAATTAATTAGTTGAAAGGAATGGAAAAAAAGATGATTAAGAAAATAATAAGAATGGTAAATGGTTTCATATTTGAAATATTTAACCACTAATCTTTAGAGAAAGGTGAAAAATGATTTGATGAGATTTTTATGAAATTTTATAAGGAAGAAAAGAAGATAAAAACAGCACCTGAGATTATGGTTTGACAGAGATGAATGAAACTTTCCCTATCAGTTTTTGTTTGTGCTGACCAAGAATTCAACAAATAAGAGGGAAAAAGTGAAGAAGTGTTAGTGCTAAAGATTAAAAAGTAGAAGAGAACTAAAGAAGGAAACATATAGTAGAGTAGAGGAAGGACCACGTTGAACAACCTGAGTTGGCTATGGTCAATGCAATGGTAGGACCCTATTGGAATCAATCTATGATATTTTTTTTAAATTCTGAAAAAAAAAATTTAATTCAATTAAAAAAATTAATATTAGAAAAATTAATTTTGAAATATTTTGAAAAAAAATTTTATCATCTATTATGACTATTTTCGATTCAAAAAATTAATATTTGACTATTCGCACATAAATTTATTATCTATTTAAGTTATTTTTCAGATTCTATTTTAATTTTCTTATGTAATTTCTATTAAAATTTAAATTATAGTTATTTAAATAAAATTATTTTTAAATAAAATTTATTAATCATTTGAGTTTAGAAATTAAAAATAATGCATTGTCATCATTTAATGAAATTATAATATGTTATCATGTCATATAAGTATTTTTAAATCAAAAATATAATTTGATTTTATACATATCTTTGATTGATTGATAATGTAAATATATTCTATATTTTCAGTGTATCCTCTTTTTTTCTTCTGAGTTTAATCATTTAGTAATTTTAATAAATATAAGATGTTAATTTGATAATTATATTCAATGGATATTAATATAACCTAAATTTAAATTTTAGTGAATATGATGTTAACTCGTACACTTGTACTGTTCAATCCCTCCTTTTTCTTTTTCATCTCTATCATAATTGATCATAATTCATAGTACTTCTATCTTTTTCAGTCTTCCATTAATTTCAAATTTAATACAGGAGAATATTTGTTTTTTTTTTTCTAAATAATTTTTAATTATTAATTAAAATTTTTAATATAATATTAGCTAGAAAATTTTAATATAGAGAATTTAATGCTCTTTTAATTTTATATAATAAATTTCTTACTCTTTAAGTTTGAAAATCTATTATTAATTAGTAATAATTTATAAAAGACAAAATTAATATTATAATAATCATTAAATTTTTATTTTTTTATAGGATAGTTATTTTTATTTTTAATTTAATTAATAAAAATATGTGTTCACATCTTCTTAGAAGAACAAAAATTCTTAGACAGACACAACTATAAGAAATAGTTTTACACACAATCAATCATTATTTTTTAATTAATCATAAAATAAATATAATATTTTCTCTCTCATTCATAATCACAACCACTTCATTAATTCAATTAAAAAAAAATTAAAAGTTAAATAAATTTAAAATTTCTCTATTTTTATTAGTTGTTTATAAAAATATTGATTTATCATTGTTTTCATGCAAGAATTCCTATTTAGAAGAACACTATCAATATATGAGTGCTAATTAATTATACAAGGCCTAATTAATAATATATTAATGAACCATTTGAAAGAAGAAAAAAAAATTAGCTAAAGGTTGAAGAAGACGACAAGAACTAGGAATGTGGCTTGCATGTAACGAAAATGGAATAGAATCATCGTCACCATCATCATCAATTTTGAGAGTAGGTTTCCCCTCCCATAAGTTGATAATTTTCCCTTTTTATAAACTCTAACCTATGAATGATTAAATGCATGTTTAGATCCTTAGAATTTTTGTTTGTGAGTTAATGTATGACATCTAAATTGATGTAGTAAAGGAGACATGGTTGTGTGTAGGGTGTTAATTGAGAGTAAGGGCCGGCAGTGATGTGATGAGAGTTGTGTATGTGCAAATCAAAGGGAGAAATTTCTTTTTTCACTCTTACATTTTCTTAGTCATTTCTGTTGAAATTTTATTTTTATCTTTAAAAGATATATTTCTGAATGCACCAGATTTTATTTTTCTGAAATAATTTTAGAGATGTGTTATCGAAGTTATGTAAAATCATTTTTTTGGGTAAATTCAGAGATGTATTTCCGAAGATACTCAATGTTATATTCAGATGTATATTTCCGAAATAGACTCTGATTGTTTTCAACAAAACAAAAACTTTGAAACATTGACATTGAACATAGAGAAAACAAAACGTAAACTTTGAAACATTGACCTTGAAATATAGATATAACATAAATGTTGAAACATTGATATTGTTGAAAGTATAATTCTTTGTGTCGAAATATGCTTAGTTTGTCGAAGTACGCTGAGTTGTGTCAGGTGTGTCGAAGCAGTTGCTACACACTATTTGATTTAGTTCCAAAATAGATATTTTGGACTGTTATAATTTTGGACTTTTTGACTTAGGAAGAAAACAAGCTCAATTATAAATAGAGGGAGTAACCCCTATTTTGTAATCAATTCATTCACAGTATTTGCAGTTGCAAGTGAATAAGAAAGTTTTTTATAATTTATGGGCAGAGAGAAACTCTGCAGAAACCCTAAATCTCTTTTCTTCTTTAATTTTCTTTTCATTGTCATTGTGTGGTGATAAAAATCTTGTTCATAGAGATTGATAGAAATTCATCATAGATTTTGGTGCATTTCTAACATCTGATATCAAGAGCTCCGGTTGATCAATTCAAGGGAAGAGCGACCAAGAAGCGACAAAAGGAAGAAGAAGAAATCATGATGGCGGTGAATTATGAGAATGAGAATTATCCAGCAAGTCTTCCAATTTTGAAAGTAGATAACTATGAGAATTGGTGCAAACAAATGAAGGTTATATTCAAGTGTCAAGGTCTTGGGATCTTGTAAAGGATGGATTAGAATCGCTTGGAGAAGACGCTTCAGAAGAAGAAAAGAAAGAACACATAGAATCAGAGAAGAAGAATTATAAAGCACTCTTTATAATTCACCAATGTCTGAGCAGGAAATTTCGAAAAAGTGAGTGATTCAGAATCTGTAAAAGAAGCTTGAGAGATCCTTGAGAAGTCTTTTGGAGGTGTAGAAAGGGTGAAAGAGACGAGGTTACAAACTCACAATAGAATGTATGAATTGCTTCAAATGGAAGATAGCGAGAGCATATCTGATTTTTTCACTAGGGTTATGAAACTAATGAATCAAATCAAGGTATGTCGAGAAGCGTTAACAACAAGAGTTGTTGTTTCAAATATCTTGAGGTCTTTGACTCCTAAGTACGACCACGTGGTGGTAGCCATAAAATCGAAGGATTTGTCGAAGTTAACAAAAGAAGGGCTTTAAGGGATGTTTGAATCTCATGAATACTGAATGGCTGCAAGAGCTGTAGGCAAGTCGATGAGTGATGTGGTTTTGCAGGCATAATTAGCAAAAGAAAGTAAAGACAAAAGAAAGTGGTTCGACAAAGGTAGAGGTGGCTATAATAATTCGACTGGCAGAGGAAACCAGCAGAAAGGAATTGTGTCAAATCAAAGAATACCCTATTACCAAGGAACCAAAGAGATTGTGCTGGAGGTAGAGGAAGAAATGATGATCGAAATCCTGACAAGAGTGACATTCAGTGTTACAATTGTCATAAGTATGGTCACTATTTTAGTTATTGTCCAGAAAAGAGAAAGAATCACGAAAGTGATGCAAAATTTGAAAAGTATAAAGAAGAAGAAGAAGATATGATGTTGATGGTTACAACAAGAGATGAAGAAATATTCAAGGACCAATGGTACTTGGATTCAGAATGCTCATCACACATGTCTGAAAGGGAAGATTGGTTTGTTAACCTAAAACCCTCAACAAAGAACAAGATGAAATTTTCAAAAGACAGTACTCTAGCAACTGAAGATGTTGGTGATGTTCTGATTATAAGGAAGGATGGAAAAAGGTCTATAATTTTCAATGTGTTGTACATACCAGGCATGAAGAGAAACTTGCTCAACATAGGGCAGTTGGTCAAAAAGAATTATAAAGTGTCGATCAAAGACAAGATGATAAGAGTCGTCGATGCAAATGAAAGATTAATCTTGAAGGCTCATATGTCCCAGAATAGAACCTTCAAGATCAACCTAAATGTGATGGAACACAAGTGCCTTTCGACTGGAACTAGCAGAGATGAGTGGATATGGCATTATCGACTAGGTCATCTAAAATTCATAGACATAAGAGATTTGAAAAGAAGAAATATGGTTTCAGAGTTGCCAGAAATTGATATTCCAAACAACGTGTGTGAAGAATGTGTGCAGTCAAAGCAGCACAAGAACAACTTCAGCAAGGATGCAGGAAGCAAGTCGAAGGCAATCATTGAAGTTATATACTCTAATGTATATGGACCAATCCAGGTGTATTCGAATGGAGACAACAAATACTTTTTTACATTCATATATGATTTTAGTCAAAAATTATGGACTTACCTTATCAAAAGGAAGAGTGAAGTGATCGGGGTATTTTCCAAGTTTAAATCTATGGTCGAAAGGCAAAGTGGTCGAAAGCTCAAAGTTTTGAGAATGGATGGTGGTGGAGAGTATTTATCAAAAGACTTTGACGCATTGTGTGAAAAAGAAGGGATTGTGCATGAGGTGGTGCCACCCTACACTCTACAGCGGAATGGAACTGCAGAAAGGAAGAATTGAACCATCATGAATATGGTGAGAAGTATGTTCAATGGAAATGGCAAGCATCTACCCAAAGAATTGTGGGGAGAAGGTATGTCGATAACAACATATATTTTGAACAGATGTCCTACAAAGAAGCTAAAAGGAATTACTCTAGAAGAATGTTGGTCGGGTGTTAAACCTAGCT